TGAATACACCTCTTCTCCTCCCAGCTATGGGTTAAATAGCAGGATGTATGTCAGTAAATCATTATTATCTCCAAAAAAATCTTGCCCTAAGACAATAAACTACATCTAACTGCAAAGCCTCTCATCAGGAGGTTTTGGGGAGCGTGGAACCACCTCTTAATTGCTGGTGTTCCCAGGTCCACCCTGACCCGGGATGGTAGCACCTGTTAGGGTCCCAGCTGTGGGCAAATAGTGAACCCCCAAACTCGGGTCAAAACACTATGAAAGTGTAAACATAGATTTGAAAAAAGTATTTCCAGCAATATATTTTTGAAAAGAAAAAAAAAAATTACCAGCAATACATTTAAGTGTACAAATAGGTTTTAATAGGTTGTAAAAAATTATTACCAGCAATGAATTTTACCAGCAATACATTTTTGGAAAAAATATTACCAGCAATAAAAATCATAAATAAGCCATTGAGGATGATATGCCATAAAACAAAGCAAACCAAACCCAAAAATTCTTACCGTCTAAAAATATTTTCTGGCTTTAAATAACCTGAAAAATGTTGATAAGCCGTAAAAAAAGAAATCCTTCAAACAATTATAGGAATCAATACAGCATGTTTTATACATCAAATAAATTTGTAAACTGCATCACTACTCCTTTCGCGGCCCTTATATATAGGTTAGTAGTGAATGAAGGGATTATATATTCAGGAGGTGCTGAAAAGCTCTCGGTCGGATCTAATAGAATCAAATCAAGTCGAACCGATAATATTTATCGCGCCCATATATCAAAAACTTAAGCTACACTTAATATCTGAGTCTAACAACAATCTCACTCAATAACCTTCTACCTTGAGTGGTTCTTGGGCCTTTATTAGGTGAACTAACATTTTTAAAAAGTCCAGAGTCAACCAATACACGCCCTCATAATATGCATTTCTTACTTCCGCTTCCCCTCCCTTACAACAATCTCACTCAGTAACCTTCTACCTTGAGTGGATCTTGGGCCTTGTATTAGGTGCACTAACATTTTTAAAAAGTCCAAGGTCAACCGATATCTACTTTACACGTCCTCATGTTATCCATTTCTTACTTCCGCCTCCCCTCACTTACAACAATATCGCTAAGTAACCCTCTACTTTGAGCGGCTCTTGGGCCTTGTATTTGGGGAAGAAACATTAAAAAAAGGCCATCATAGTAAATATCTATATAACCATACGCCCTATGCGTCAACAAACCGAATACTTTAAAAGAAGTTTACTTGAACGTAGAATATCAAGTACTTCTGATCTAATTTGTTCATTCGTTCGTTTCTTTTTTCTTTTCTTTTTTTATCTTTCTTTGTCACCTTTGTTTTCTTTGCTTGTTGTAATGTCCATTTTCTGCTCTGTGCTCATCATTACACTTTTAATTCTTTAGTCAAACGTACACTACTCGACCGACATATTGCTCCCACTTTTCAACTAGTGGTCTTCTCGCCATGAAACCGTGACCAAAATAGCTGTTTACGGGACTCGCTTGCCTCCTCTTTTACGCCACCACTTTCCCAATCATTGAGAAAGAAAACCCCAATTAATTCGACAAGAAAAGAAAAATATACACAAATAAATAGGATTAGATTGATATTCTTTTGTTGTTGTTTTTTTCGTCCATTCGTGTTTAAAAAGTTATTAATAACTTCTAAAATAAAAATCATTTCTTTGTTTTCTTTTTTATATTCATAAATTCATTTGTCTTCATAACGAACAAAGGTTTCCCGCCTCCTGCACGAACCCGTACGCTATGTCGCGATCATGTCAGAAGTGTCTCCTTAATCACACGCTAAGTGGTGACATCTCTTGGAAAAGTAATTGTATTGTTCTAACATATAGACTACTTTGGCAGATGAACACTGTTTCTTCAAGACCTGAGAACTACTTTGTCACGTGAACAGAAGCTCCAAGACAATATCACAAGGTCGCTATCTAATTTTTATTTGCCTTCTTTAAAAAAAAAATTTAATGAGTATTTAAAAGAATTATTACACCAGTCTCTTTGTGTCGTGTCTTGTTTGTTTAAAACGTTTAAATAATTCATATTTCGTTATTCGGCATTCTATAAGTAGCATGAATCAGAAAGAAATAAGCCCCCAGTGTGATTTGAACTTGCATCTATAAAGAATCTTTTTCTTACCGATAATGCCACGAAGACTTACCAAAAACTGACAGTAGTAATAGTAATATGAGCCGCTTCCTTATAAGGAAATATTCGACATACATTGATCGAGCAGCCAGTACGAATCGAGTTACTCAAGTTACTCGTTTATCCACTCCCTGACTATGGGACCGAAATCAAAGTGTAATATCTCTTCTCCTTATCTTATCTTTTAATGGCAATGCTAATATTACCTGTTTCCTTATAAGGAAACATTTGGCATTCTTTGACCAAATAAGCAGTGTTACTCGTGTTTACCCGAGTTTACGCATTTGCGTAGACTTTGAAAGGGATCGCAAGCCCAATCCTAAACAGGAAACATGGGATAAACGTCTACTTATGTTCAAAAGACCGGAGAGGAGTGTGAACCGGACGTTAGTCGAACCTATCTACTCCTATTGGGAAAAAAGAAAAACTAAATAAATGGTGCTTAAAATTTCAGAGTTCAGGCGGAGATTTCAGAAGTAGGGTTGAAGTAGACTTTGGAAGGGAATTGCAAACCCAATCCTAAACAAGGAACAAGGGATAAACGTCTACTTCTGTTCAAAAGACCGGAGAGGCGTGTGAACCGGACGATAGGCGAATTTATTTACTCATCCTAAACTGCACATAACTGACTGACTGACTGACTTTATATGTAATATACATTCTTTCTATCTCTGCACACCTTTCGTTGAGTCATTTCTCTTTAGCCCGCTTGCATTTATTCCTAATTTCTTTGTACAATGTCCTATAGTCTGTGCCATACCTTTGCAGTGAAAAAAGTTTTTTTTGTGAATGTTCATGGTGAAAAGGAAAAGAAATAATATCTTTTATAGAATAATATCTGTCAAATAATGATGCTTTTATTTTTAAAAATACTTTATTTTATATAAACATATAGATTAAAATATTTTTGTTTTGCAAAACTAAGATCATTATTCCAATTTAGGCAAGAGTCAGCAATCTGATGGTATTTGGAAAATCGAGAAATGAAGGTTGTCTTGAACGGCCACTCTTCTAGATCTTTTGCGTTAATGCAGATGTTCCCAAGCGCTCTATCTTTGGACCTACTTTGTTCTTAATTTTCATCAACGACCTTCTTCATGTCATCAGTTCTCAACTCAGTATCTATGCTGATGACACAACTATTTACTTATGCCGCAATATTAAGCCTAATTGGTTCGAAAAGGAAATTTAGTAACTGATTTAAAAGCAATGACGTTCAATCTGTTGTTAAATGGGACAATGAATGGCTTGTTAATTTTAATGCACCCAAAACGAAATTTCTCTCTTTTAATCATCTAAGAGAACTATCTTCGCTTTCCATCAGCTTGGGTGGTTCTAATCCTCAGAAAAGTGACTTATTGTCACTTCCCGGGATAACGATTTCCATTGATATGAAGTGAAAAGACTATATTGAATCAATCGCTAGGATTGCTGCGAGGAAAGTTAGTTCAATGTGTTGTGCTAGACAATTTTTCTCGCCAGAATCTATCTTACATACTCATTTTACCATTCATCCATGCAGTGAATGTTGCTGCCACATATGGTCTGCTGCTTCTGCATTGTATTTACAGATTCTTGATAAAATCTAAAGAAGAATCTACAATTTTATTGGTCCTGGCTTGTCATCTTCAGTCATTTTCCCACAGCTGTGATGTAGCTTCCCTGTGCCTTTTCTATAAATACTTTCATGGTTATTGTTCTGTTGAACTTTCCTCTATGGTAGCTAGACTATGAATTTAAACACTGTACTAGACTGACGGCAACATTTTATCATTTTCCAGTTGAGATGGTTGGATATACTCGTAAGTTCTATGCTAAAGGTTTCTTCTCTCACACTTCTCCCTCGTGAAACTCGCTTCTGCCTTTTTGTTTTCCAGTCAATTTTGATCTTCAAAAATTTAAATACAACTTCAATCGTTATCGTCTCTCTTCTTGATTCCTCCTCTTTTTTGTTCTCATTTTTAATAATGTTTTTTTTTTTCTCATATTCTCTCACACATATTAACCCCTTGCGTTCTTAGTGAAACTTGTTTTGATGAAATGTTTAAACTAAACATCTCTTTATTTTGTTAATTTTTTCACTTTCTATATTTATTTGACTTTATTTACAATTTCGGCACCAAATACACAAAAATACGATCATTATAATCGGGGCAAGCACGAATGTAAACCACCACATAATTTTATTAAGTTGCTTAATTCTTCAATTTAGAGCATTTAAACAACCATCACTTTACAATAAACCATTTTTACTACGTTATGCTTTACACACCCACAAGAAAGGGGATGCTGGTTTCTTTATACCAGTGTAGCAAATTAAAATATCATGATACACTTAAAAAAATTTTAAAGGGTAGACATTTAAATGTTATGAAATAAAAACATAGATTTAAAAAGAATGCACACACAAATATGAACTTACTTTATTTTACTGTTTCTATTCAACTATTTGTGCAGCTTATTTAGTGTGAAACCTATGCCTGGTGTTTTTTGTTTGTTTTTTTTTTTGTGATTTCTTCAATGTTTATTCAAATGTGCGATAAGCAGACCCTTATTTCTTCTTCAGTTGAACGTAGTCTTTCTCGCTTTTTATTTTTGATTTTATTTAGGGTTGAGAAGACTAATTCACATAAATAAGAAGTAGAAAATTGCAATAAAACTAATAAAGTCTTTCTAGCTAATGCGGGATCAAAAGTTTAATAATTATTCATTTATTCAAATATCAACGCTATACTATTAATACTTCCACACACACACACGTGTGTGTGTGTGTGTCCGGTTCTTCGTATCTATGTACGTCTATTGCAGTCTGTTCATATCTATCATAGTATGTATTTATTTATCTATCTACCTGTCTATATCAGTCTTTTCATCTATCTATCTCAATTTGTTCCTATCTATCTATCTATATCTATCTATCTAATACAAGGTTGAAGAGGATTACAGAATAAGGTATGTGATATGAATGTCGGAAGAAATGTGTGTGTATACTGTGACAATATTTTGTGGCACACTTAAGAGGATCGCGCAGGATTTATAATCACTGCTTTAAATGAACATATATAAAACATGGTATGAAAGCTGACATTAAATCCCACAAAACAAAGTTCATTGTCGCATTATTATTAATTGTTCATATTCACAAACCAAATGTCTCGAATATCAATTACGATCTTTGATTCTCGCTACGAAAATATTGCCGCTCTTACTTTTCATAAGTTTAATATATATTCAATTTGGGAGAAGTTCGTTGGTCAGACGATGTCTATTAGTAAAATAAAACGTGCTGAGTCCTTATGAAGATAGTCATGTCTTGCTCTTCGGAAGTTCAAGTATCGCGGCGACCAAAATTGTAGCGTGTGCCAAAAAAGTGGTCAAAACTGTTATGGCTGGAGAACTGAGATAACGGGATGAAGATTAAAAGTATCTGACAAGGGTCGGGTGGGTATTTGCTAATTTAGCAACAAAGCCGTTCGAGGCATGCGCAGTTCATACTTAAGTTAAAGTCATAAAGTGTGTCTCTGAAATTAGACGAGTGCTCTTCATAAAAGTACATATTATCGTTCAGATATACAGGATGCTGCAAAAGCAGGCATACAGAATTATACCAGCATTGTCATTATTATAATATTTAAAACTAGAATTCATTTAATGCATTCATATATACAGAATAGTCAGTTTAATAAAATTTGAGGAATAAAAAGTCAACAATATTGGCAATAAGACTGATGATATTTATTATATATTAGACTTTCGACTAAAGTGAAGCATGAAGAGAAAGATTTTAAAGTTGAAATTTTCGGACACACCTGTGACCTTTTTAATTTAGATCTTTAAGCCATAATAAAAATAATTTTTATAATAATATAAATTTATATGATATTTAATATTAAATTAAAACTGTTTTTATAAATTTAATCACTATATTTCTTCATTGTTCATCTGACAAGACGAAAAGCCTAATTCGTCCGATGATAATACATCTTTTCCGTTTATTTAAAAGTTTGTGAAGACTATGGTCTTAATGAAACTATTATCAACTTATGATTAATAATATATATATATTTTTATGATATTTATTGTTTTAAGTTTTCGTTTAATATATTAAATATTATTTAAACATTTTTTATCTTTATATATTTGCTCCCCCTTAAAAATTCAACGATACGAGGAATAAACAAAGAAGTGGGACTTACATTTCTGTGGAAACTATGCTCTCTGAGTAGACACAAATCCTTGTTTAATCCCTCGATTCTTTCAGTTTAATTAATATATATATATATATATATATATATATATATATATATATATAATGTATTCTTCTATGTACTGTTTCCCTTCACAGGGTGGACAATCATGGCTCTCCATAGCTTCCTGTTCTTCTGTTCTTTTTAGCTTTCTGTAAATGTTGTCTATTTATCCAAGCTCGTTAACAGATAATGCGCTGTACAGTCCCATTGTCCTGACGCTTTCCAAGATCCACACATTTTAAAGGCAACAGTGGCAGACTGCAAGGCGTCCATAACGCAATTCAGACCAAATGCGACACTAAGCGTGTCTACGCGGACAGTTTAGAATCGTTTATTTTATATATATATATATATATATATATAATGATGCTGTTTCCCTTCAGGACTATAGGTTCTTCTGTTCTTTTTAGCTTTCTGTAAATGTTGTCTATTTATCACTAGCTTCCATAACAGACAATTTCTGCCGGGACACCACAGTGTAAATTCCCAGTGGTCTCGCAAGTGGATCATCTGGAGATTGAATAACCGTTGCTCCAAAACGAGTACAGGCAACTACGTAAAGTGCTCAATACACGAAGTAGAGCAAACCTAAGATAATCCTAAGGAGCCAGGCAAATCTACTTAGGTTTCACCTAACCGGATCATCAGGGCAATGCTGGCCGAAAAGGGAAATTATGGAACAGAATTTATAGTTTAAACCCAAATACAACTAAGACCACGTGACAAAAAAAAAAACATAGTAAAAACTCAAACAGGTGGGTAGGGGTTACGTACTTTATTCAACAAGGCAGGAAAATCTTTGTTGTAGTGGAGAGTAGAAGGTCGCACTGTTGGTTGTGTGGCACCGCTGGTCACATGGCCAAAATGTGTCTCGGTCGAAAACCAATGCCAGAACCATCCACTCCATCCGAGATGGTAGTAGTGAAAGACAAGCCCTCCAAGTCCACTGACGGACCAGGTAAATGGCGGGAGTTTGTAAAAAAGGGGTCGAAAGTTGTTGTCCCTTCTCCCTCACCCCAGAAGGATGTTCTGGGGAAAATAGAACGAATACAGAAACAGTTGTAGGAGGGTAAAACTCAGCAGCAGCAGCAAGATAGCAAAGGCCAAACACAGCAGCGGAAGCGATCCAAGCAGGACCAGCAGCAGCAGCAATAACAAAAGCACAAAAGCACAAAGACCAGCGAAAGTTGTCTCAACAGGATCAGCAGCAGCAGCGATTGACACAACTCCTCAAAGACCATCAGCAGCAGCCGCAGCAACAGCAGACAGAGTTGTCGCACCTGGATAGCGACATTGAGAAGTTATGTCTGGCCGAAGTAGAGCGGAGAAATCCGCTGACAAAGGTCAGTACAAATCTACCCCTACTTCGCCGGCAAAATCATCGATCCAGAGGACAAAGGTAAGCCAAAGAGCCTCTCCGCTTCCCGTCTAGGGTTCCGACTTCACCTTTTCCCTTTCCTCAACCCATCCCCCAAACAACCCCAAAAAATGAAAAAGCCATTCCCCAGTGAGAGAGGATTTATAGTATTGACAGGCAGGCCCTTGAAAGTGACCTGTCTGCACAAAGAACAGAAAGGCCCTTTTAAGACCCATCTTTAGATATACCTCTGTCGATGGGATGTTGACAGAGGATCCTAGAAATTTCACACAAGCCCCCGGAGCGATTACGCTCATCCGTAACACGGTGTGGGAGGGATTTAAAAGTTTGAGATTACTTGGCAATCGCCAAAGAAGTCTTTCCCAACATTATGATGGCCCAAATGAGGTCACCTGACCTGAAAAAGTTATCTCAATTGTGTTTGCCTCCACCCCTTCTTTATATAGGGCCCTTAAGTTAACCTTCCCGACGGACGTCGACGGTTTTGTCTGGGATGGTCGAATTACGACGGATATCGGAACAGGAACCTTGGACAATCCTTCGGGGTCTTGACCCCCATAGATTTCCGACCAGTCTGTATTTAAGGGACGTAGGCTTAAATCATGTCTTTCAAGCTCGCCAGCCTGAGTGTAAGGGGCTTGAAAGATCGGGGTAAGGCTGCCCGTCTTCTTCGGGATCTCTTGTCCTTTGGCGTAGATGTAGCTGCGATTCAGGAAACGCACTTTGTTTGCGACGTTGATGCTCGTGTGCTGTCAAGCGACTTTGTTGTCTATTCAGCATACGGGGACCAACTGGCCAGATGTGTTTCCTTGTTAATTAAACGTTCCCTGGATGCGAGGGTGGACCTTGTTCATGTTGACGCGAGTGGGGGGGGGCAGGTTGATCGTGGCTGATATTGCAGTGAGCAGTGGTTCGTTTCGGGTCGTTGGAGTTTATGCGCCCAACGACCAGAGTGATCGTGTGGACTTTTCCCGTCAATTGAGGCCGTTCCTGGGTGATTCGTCGCGCTTAGTCTTAATGGGGGACTGGAATGCCGTCCTGGACCCCAAGATAGATAGGGGGCGGGGAGATAGCGGGAAGGCATCGGGTGATCGTAGCCTGGTCGATCTGATCGGCGAATTTGGTCTCGTCGTTAGATACTGGGTCGATCATACGAGGGTGGAGATGTGGACGTGAGTTCGTAGTTGGCCGTCTCTCCAGAATGTTAGTGAGAAGAGCAGTTCTAGATTTACTAGATTGTCCCTCGTTCCACCGTGTAGACTATTCAGATCATAGACTCGTCTGTGTCCGGATGTTGTTAGGTACTAGGCCTAGAATGGCTGGACACTGGGAGTTCAATCTGTCTTTACTGGATAGGTGGGACTTTCAGCAACAGCTAACTAGAGTAGTGCAGCGGGAATTAGTGGGGCGGTTATTGGGAGTAAGTGGTGGGAGAGGCTTAAGGATAGGATTAGGTCCTTCACCACGGAATATGGTCCACGACTCGCTCTAGGCCCTGAAGCGTGAGGCGAGCAAGTGCTACCAGAGTCAGGTAGTTAGACATAGATTAAACAAGATGTCTAACAAAGCCGTGAACATGGGCGCTGAATTGCGAAGAGATTCGTCGAGATTCCGATCAATACATTCGCGAGGTCATTACCCCGGAGGGGCGCTCTCTGAGGTCGATCAAGGACATGTGCGAGGCGTTTCGGCGGCATTTCGAGAGCCGTTTTACCAAGGAGCCTGGTCTCAGTGGCAATGAGTTTCGCAGCTATTTGGCTGACTTTCCTCGGCTGAAGCAGCTAGCTGCGAGGGTGAGATCACGGAGGGCGAAGTCTACTTGGCATTGAAGAAGGTCGGCAGAGGCAAGTCTCCAAGACTTGATGGTCTGCCCTACGAAATGTACTTCGAGCTAGGGTTTCTGCGTATGCCGATGACGTATCCATCTTCGTGCCGTGCCGCAGCAATGAGAAGGCGCTTGAACGGTACGAGAAGATTAACCGCAACAAATCTTCCGGAAGGGGGTCGCGCTTCCGGGGCCCTTCGGCTGGACTGATGGACCCGTCCGCATCCTTGGGTTGTCATTCGGGCCCGGACTCCGGCTGAAGAAGAATTGGTCAGAAGTACAGGCAATGGTCGGAGCGTCGGTTCGGACTTGGCTTCGAAGGGGGTTGTCCTTAAAGGGTAGGGCGTAGGCGTTTGCCACTTACGTCTTGCCCCTTATCCTTTACCGCTTGCTGTACTTCCTTTTTGTGGGAAACGTATGGAGGCGATCAACGTTTGTTGATCACCCTCTTGTGGGGTGGTAGCAAGCACTGGGTCCGTAAAGAAGCCTGTTACCAGCGTCCGTGTCATGGGGGGCTGGGATTGCCACACCTGGCGAGCCATCGCCATGCCTCAAGGTTGGCTTTCCTACACCGCGTGTTGATGGAGGTCTCGATTTTGCCGCCAAGTGTTAGAGACGCCTTCCCAAGCCTTACTATCACTCCTCCGTTTTCTTGGGGTAAGCGCCGTGGCGGTTGTGGAAGGTTATCGAGTTTCCTCAGAGAGTGTCGGTCGGTCTTGAAGGTCATTCCTCGATCCAGTGACCTTTCTCGGCGTCGGAGACTATTGTATCATGAATTAGTGGAGGGGGTCGGAAAGGATCCTCTGTGTGACCGGTTCGGCTTGTCAGCATCAGAGTTGCCCTCTTTTTGGTCTTGGACGCCAGCGGCGGATTATCTCAGCAATCCTGAGTTTTCGCTTAGCTGGCAATTGATTCAGAACGTGCTACCTCTCAATGACGTACTCTTCAGATGGGGCGAGGCAGATTTGACAGATTTTCATCGGTTTGACCTTGGTTTAGAAGAAACGGCTTCGCACGCCTTCTACCATTGTCTACAGGTGCGCCCTTCCTGGGATTATGTCGGCGAGTTGACGGTTCGTATCGCTACCGATCAGCTCGTGTCCATCGATCTCGAGTACGCGTGTGACAATGTGTCGCCCTCGTAAAAGTTAAGTTATACACTATTTTGTGTTCCGAGTTAATGTGAATAAGTGTTGTTCTCGGCTTTTTCTTCTGTTATGATTCATGTCGAGATTCCCAATCTTCCCAGTTTGTTTTTGTACCCTTTTTTCATATCGGCTGAGTCATTCTTTGATTTTCCCATTCCGACATTTATTTTTCCCCTCCCTATTCCATTAGTGAGTTTGCTTCTTGATTCTATCGATCGATAGAATACAGCGGCCACTCTTATTATTTTGTGGGGTGGACGGTTCCTTTTATTTTTTTATTTTTTTGTTTTCGTTTTGTCTTTCGTTGACATTTTGAGTTTCTTGTCAAGTTCATACCCCCCCCCATCATTTCATGAAATATACAAACACACACACACACACACATATATATATATATATATATATATATATATATATATATATATATATATATATATATATATATATATATATATATATATATATATATATATATATATATATATATATATATATATATATATATATGTATGTATGAACATTAAAATAAATAACTCATCAAATGTAAACTAGCAATGACCAATATAGTATATCAATTTCACTTCCCAGTACAAAACTGTTTCTTGTCATAAACCAGTTACCTATATCCGACATTCTACCCCCTCCTTGAGCATACGCCTCAGATGTCACTTATCAAAGTAAAGTGCAATAATAAAAAAAAACATCTACCAAAAATCTACAAGAACTCTTAAGAAAAGTTATGATAGAAAACACTAAAATTCTATGTAAATCAAATTACCGAAAATATCTCGCTATAAGAGAGGACCTGTTTATTAAAAATCTATCTCCCATTTTCAGCCCCACCTTGTTTAATGGGAATGGCGTGCTAAAAGTTTTTAAAAAATAGAAAGTCGCTCAATTGTATTACATCCGCACTCAGAATGCAAAGGCCTGTAATAAACACTCCTAATAATACTCAAAGCAAAAAAAAAACACATCTCAGTCAAAACATGAAGAGAAACTAACAACACCCAAATAAAACAGACTTGAAAATGGCTAAGGAAGTGACCGAAAGCCCTTGGAACAATGAATGACATGGACAGATTTTTTACACGCTCACTCCCACCAAACGGAAAAATTGTAAGAACGCTAGAAAAAATAAATAAAAATTATTAACATTTTCCTTGTCCTACATATTTAATGAAAAATGTTTAAAAGAAATGTTGCCGCCCAAATATACCTTAATAAAATACATTTTTCCCTCATCGGTAGCACAACATCATCACATATGCGATATATATATATATATATATATATATATATATATATATATATAAAAGAATATCAAGCACTTAAAATCCCATAGGTAATAATTTTATTTCATGAGAGCTCTAAAAACACCAGCTCTCAATCTTCAAAACCTACAAATGAAAATCACAAATGAAATGGAAAAACTATTCCGGGTTAAAAACTTTAAGATATTGTTTTTTTTAGAAGGTGGGAGAAGAGCAAAGATTGTTACCCATGTAAACAACAACACTTGCCTCTAAAGCAAGCTCAAATTTGAACACAGTTATAATTGTGACGAGGACGAGTTCTAAATTGAAGCAATTTAAATCTTAACATTTGCCTCTAAAGCAAGCTTAAATTCTAACAATAACAATTGTGACTAGAAGGAGTTCTGATTTGGGTCCTGACCAGCTTGAAATAGACTATACTCATGTTGAGGTAATTTTGATTTTTGCTGTAAAAAAGATATATGCTCTGTTATAATAAATACATTGAGCTCTCTGTAGATCAATTTTAATATTTGAAATAACTAGGATTCACATGCATTATATACCAACAGATCTATCACTTGTACTATATATATATATATATATATATATATATATATATATATATATATATATATATAAATATAGTAATCACATGCTTAAGTTGGTAATGACAGTCTTAAAACAAAGTCAAATTTGATCCCAAAATTTAAACAAAATCAACGAAAAATCTTTTTTCAAATAGGATTTCGCTTTTTGAATAATAAGCATTATATATCAGAGTGGGAACAT